GTCAACAAGAACAACAAAAATCTCAACCTTTTTGCCTGAAACATCTATACCTAAATCGGATAGATACATAACTTTGGTTATATTTTATTTCTGGCAAAAATTATCGAAATTGAAGAATCTGGTTTCACTAAAAATTGAAAAAAAAAAGAGTACAATTCCTTGATGAACGTTGCACGAATTAAATTGAACATAACTAGTATGGATAAATTAAATCTTCAGTGGTAATGGGATTGTGATAAAGAGAAACATAGCCTAACTGATTAGAGAGAAAGAAGAGTGAGTCACCTTTGGAAATGACAACAGCCCAAGTCTAGCGAGTGACCTGGTTATAAATCTTGTCCATATTTAATGGAGATATTATTTTCCTTCTTTGAAAATTCTTCAAAAATCATTGGTGCGGATTGAGAAATTTTGAACATTGCCAACTTGTCGTCCAGATAAGTTTCAAAAGATGACACCGTTATTTCTTAAGCATATCATAGTCAAACATAGTTGTCTATGATGCATGCAAAAATAGATTGTAGCATTGGAATGATTCAAAGAGCATTTTCAATTTTTATTTTACTTTTGAATAACTATTCTAAACGATATTTGACACACTGAATTTATAACCAAAAAGAAGGAAAGTACAATAGTGAATTCGGACTTGATTATTCTATCTTTCTAATTTAAATGCATATATTCTCTTTAGCATACAAAAAATGGAGCATCACTGAAGATGATTCACTTTTATGACGGGCTTATCCACATGGCCCAACCTGCATCATCTTTCATACAATTAAGACCTCACACATAGCAATCATGATGCAAATATTAATTTAGTTGATTACCGGCAAAAAAATTAATATAAGAAGTAAATTTTAACACTCAATTCTCAACTTCTTCTTTTGGAGGTGACTTGTCTTAATGTATATATATAGAATTTTACTCAATTAAAAAACTTCAACTTTTTTTTCTAATTTGATTTAGGTCCTTTAATAATTTTTGGACAACCAAACTTACCACATGATTTAAACTTACAGTGTAATTTCTATGACTTGTTTAAAAAAAAAACTCAAAACATATTGTTTCTTGAAAATATTTGTACTTTGTTTTTTTTTTTGTAAAATTATTCTTAAAGGAAAGTCAGAATCTATGTATTTTTTTAGTTGCAATTTTTTTAATACTATAAAAATAAATAAAAGCTTTTGAAAATTCTATTAGAAAAGTTCGGAGTAATACTTAGGAAATGAGGATATATAACTTTTTTTTACTCACGTTATTTTCTATTGAAATTAATCAGATTTGAAAGGGATATTCAATTTCTAAACAATATAAAATCGGAAGCTAACTGGTTTTGTTATTACATTTGGTGAGTCCATAATTTTTTTAAAATTTGTTGATTATATACATTTAAGAATTAATTTTAATTTAAAAAATGACAAGAAAAATTACAAAATTTAAAATATAATAACTAATTAAGCCTTGAGATTAACATTTAAATAATGATAAACTATAGAACAATTATTTATGCACAATTTAAAAATATCTGAAACTCTTATTAGAAAATATGTGGAAGTATTTTTAAAAAATAATACTATAATACGTAACAATGTATTATAGGTATAACTAGTATTTGTTGTTATCCGATTAAATTTAAATTTGTATTTAAATTTAAATATAAGAATATATGTTTTTTTTATCTAACAATTTTATATAAATTAGTTTGATTTAATTTTAGTTATTGTTTTTATCTAAATTTAGTTATTGTTCTTCTATATATTTACGAGATTTATAAATGTTACGATAATATCATGTTTTTAAAATTTTAATATATATATTATAATTTTTTTAAAGATATCTTAATAAATTTAGAGATAATAATATATATAAATTAGCTCTAGGTGAAGAGTGAAATTTTAATCTCCATGTCAAGGTGTATTCTAAATATTCTTATCATTTTTTTGTGTAATTGACCTTGCGAAAGGAGAAAGTCCACGTATAGCAAAATATCTGACCGAAATAACCTCATAATTAAGAGTTGAAATCAAATAATACTTCCTGATCATGTTTGTAGTCCTTTTTAAACTATAGACACAATCTGTTTTATCTTTAAATATCAGCAGAATAATAACTGACTTTTAAACTTAATTATCAGAATAACAATCCACTTGTAAATCTAAACTGCTTTCCTGAATCGTCGGAATAGACATTACTAATCGAATTCTGGTCGGTTTTAATAGGTAAGAACATAATTTGATCTATTTATGAAGATTAATACACAATTTTTTTTTTCTATGATATGTGCACAGTGAAATCCAAAGCAGGAGAAGTTGAGTGTTAGAAGTGTGTAGAATAGTTGGGTGGGCTGGCTAGGGTTGCTCCATAAAGGACATTAGGCTTTTTCACGTGAATAAATAGTCCATGTCCCCCATTAAGGTGCTACAACATTCATAGAAGATGCTTCATTTATATCAGTCATTCATGTCTCTAGGATTCCCAATTATCGATCACATGTTATCTGTCAACTAAAAAAAGGAGGTCACTGATTCAATGTGACTGGATTTCCTTCCTGGGTTTTCTTTGCTTAATGTCTACCTTCACATTAACGCCACTATCAATGTTCTATTGAAAACCAATCCGAATTTTGAAGCTATTATTCCTTGGTCCAGTCTTCTTGTTTCCTTGGAGTGTAAATTACGTTCAAGTGAGCAAAAATTGCCCCTTCACCAACAACCTTAGAAGCTAGCTAGGCCAAACTTGGTATATTTAGAAATGGAAAGACAACAATAATGCAAGCATGAACGGAGTTTTGATGAGTAAATATCCAAGAAAAATGGTTCATGATATGTAAGGAGCCGTAGGCAAGTAAAAAGTTGGAACCATGCCAAGTCTGCGTCTTATTCACAAAAGAAGTGTGGCATTGATTTGGTACAGCAGATAGATATTTCGCTTTTACTTGTGACTTAATCAATGTCTGGAAGTCACATTTGGACTTGTTTTTATCTATTTTCACGCCTCAACATTTTCCTGACTTCTCTTTTACTTTTAAGAAGATTTTATTCTTCGAATTCTGAATTATATCCTTGGAACTGTACTGAAATTTATACATACATTGCCACTAATTATCATATAATCTATCCTCGTAACAAAGCCATTCACCCCATCCTTTTATACATCAGGGAATATGTATACACGGGCTTGTTTCACACTTTCGCCAAGCTCAATCATCATGCATCCACAAAACTCAATATCATAAATTTGAAGGATGGTTTTGACATCAGAGAACAAGGGTACGTGAAAGATGAAGGCTTAGGGATAATCAGAAGTTAGTATAATGGGAATCGTCATGAAGGCTGAGTAAAAACTAAATGTGGAATGTGAAATCAAAGTAGTCCAAATCAAACTACGAGTGATATGAAAAGTTGAGTTGCAAGCTGTAACTCGACTGTGTAGCAAGCTTAACATGTGAGAAAAGATTCCCTGCCTCCATGTGGTCTTCTTTACAACCACCTATCTTCTGTGTGCTTTCTTCCTACTTTACTTGGGTTGTTGAGTAGTGTGAATACTTTTGTCCTAATATTCAGGGATTCATAATTGCAATCTCTATCCTTCATATATATATTTTTTTCCAAAAAACAGAAATATTATACAGACTGAATACATACCACAAACTGATTTTTAGTTGGGAACGTTCTCTACTAGATTCTACCCTAGGCCTGGTTTCCTCGCATTCTTTTCTCTCATCATCTTTTATTTTGGGCAAAAGAAAAGTTAATGCTATTCTTCTTACGTTATCTTCTCAACATCTTATAACAAAAATATGGAAAATGTTTGTCCAAAACATAAGAAAAACATCAATACTTTCTACATTGAGTAAGAGGATTAATTTAGAATTATTCTTTAGAAGAATGCCACAAAAGGAAAGTAACAGGATACTACGGTTGAATGGGGTACTAGTTCGGTAACATGAGTGCAGAAAAACCACCCATCAAAGATTCCCTGCCTCCATAGTGGTCTTTGAAATAACCTAATGTTCCGAGTGCTTTCTTCCTTCTTTTTATGGATACTCATCAAAGATTCCCTGCCTCCTTAGTGGTCTTGCAACCACCTTACGTTCTGAAAGTTTTTTCCTTATTTTTACGGGTTGTTGCGCTCAATTTAATTAGGTAAGTAGTATGAATGCGCATACTTTTCCTAATATTGAGGAATACATAATTGCTATTTATTTCCTTCATTTTTTATCTCCAACCAAAATACTGTCCCACCAAACCAAATACACAACACAAACCGGATTCAGCTGGCAGGATTCTCTCAATTTCCACTCTTAACCTGGGTCACTCGTATTTTTCTCTCGTCATCTTACTTTTTGGGGAGGAAAAAGTAATTGCGATTCTTCCTACATTATTCTCTAATCACTCTTCCCAACAATTCATAAAAAATATATTAAATAACAAAAACATGTTTAACATCTCAAAAACAAGAAAAATTATTAATACTTCATGCATTTATAAATAAAGGGATTAAAAAGATTTAAAACTATTCTTTGGAAGAATGCAGTACTATCAAACACCATAGTCCAGTAGTGCAAATGCAGAACCGCTCATCAAAGTGAAAAACATTCATCTCAGACAAAATTATTTCCTTTATAGTCTTTATACCATAGTCAACAGCTGCCAAGAAACAGATTACCTTTTTCCTTTTTTGTTTTCCTTCAGTTCGATCCCAAGATAAGCACATAATGTAAACACAGTAAGTCTTTCTACAACTAAACCGAACAGTGGCAGTTGAGTTTCTGACGTTTCTTGGCCGTCCTAGTTACTTTCCACAATCACCTAGTACTATGGGATCAACATTAGAAATACAACTTCTCCCCATGCAGAGCAGGAAGTGGGACAGTAGTTATAATTAACACACACAACTGCTACCGTTAAACGGTTAGTGATTACAAACAACATTGCGAAAGTAAATTGGATCAAGGTCGTCATATCAGTGATTACCATCTTCGAGGGTTGTCATTTCTATCGGTAGTAAGCCTGCTGATAAGTGGGTGCCAAGACATTTCCATAGCCACCATATGCAGGATAGTTCATGGGAGCCGCTGGGTAAGACCCTGCAATAGCTGGTGTAGGCTCGGGCGAATAAGCAGCATATGGATTTGCTGGGGGACTTCTGCTGCCATACATGTGGGGTGGGGAAGGGTATGGTGGAAGAGCAGCTGGGTATTGCCCGTGTGATGGAGACCTAACAAATGTAGGAGCAGCAGGGAAAGATGATACATACGCATTAGTCAAACGCCCAGCTTTGGCTGGTGGCATTAGACCTCCATTGCTGTTGCTTGCTCGAGTTCTCTTATTGGCAGGAACAGCAGCTGGTTTCCTTTTCTCTGTCTTCACTGTTTTCACCTTCTCCAACTGTTCAAGTCTCTTCTTCAGATTTTCTGGAGGGAACTCAGCCTCAAGTTTGTATTCTTCAATGCATTTAATTACAGCCCTGAGTGCAGACTGCTCTTTCCTTGCAGCTAGGTACTGCCAAATTCCATTCAACACAGTAAAAACAAATATCGTTAATATATTAAACACATTGCTAATAACTCAAGAAAACACTACACAAATAGAGCGCTTTTACCATTTCCAGCCCATTTTTTTCTTCCAACTAATCAAAGAAGCAACAGAAATAGATAAGAATCAGAGATCAGATCAGTACTAACACTAACACCCCGAAAGATATCACCACTCTTTTCCCCTATCTAAACGGCATTCCTAGGTATATTCTTTCTAACAAGCTGCACCTTCTATTTATACAAAATGAACCAAAAATAGCCAACGTGTATCATGTATCAACTACACATTAGCAGCTACCTACCACTAATCAAGCATAAAATAAAAGACAGTTCAGCCTCCACAACATAGTATCAACTATCAACTAGTAAGGGTCGGTTTGGATAAACTACTCTATAAGCTTTTGGAAGAGAAAGAAATAAAATTAATTATACAACTTCACTATAAGCTATAAATAATTTGTACACTTAACTTTCGTAAAAATTCTCATTCAAATTATCCACTCCTCCAAAAGCGGGGTTTAGAAAATAACTCAAATTCATTTTACCTTGATATTTTCATCTGATACAAATGTTTGGAAAAGTTTTGCTTGCTCAAGGTCTAAACCAAACCACACAAAAGCAAAGATAGTAAAAACAAAAAGAGAAAAATACCGCAGCTCGGCCTGCATTATTAGGATCTTCCAAAATAGAAGCCGCAACTTTCTTAGCATCCTTGAGAAAAGACTTCAACAAGGGAACAGGAGGGAACTTGTCCACAAGACCCACTTCATATGTAAAATGAACCGCATCAAGCTGCTGCCCTTTGCTGATCAACTCCTCAATCATATCTAAAGACAATCCACACAAACACAACACTTTCAGCACACACAAACAATAAATCCACAAAATCAATTTGCAGAGAACCGTAATCGTGACTATACCAGGCATTTGCTGAGAAAGACCAAGCGAAAGCGCGAGCTTCGGCATCTGTTTCCTCCAAGCGGAAGCAATAACAAGCTTCCGGTACAAATCCAAATCCTCGTTCTTGACAATCCCGAAAGTAACCACGTGCTGCAAGAAGGTGTGGACGTCAGGGGTCTTCACGTTTTCCACGCCGCCACGCTCCTCCAGGCTGGCCTTCCAAGTCTCCGCTATCTCCGTGGCCTGCTCCTTCACGGTGGGGGTGACCAACAGTCTCGATTTTCCAATGACCGGGTCGACAACGACCGGAATCAGAGACTCGAGGACAAGTACGCAGGCCCAGCCTAGGTCGTGACCGGGCTTTTCTCCTCTCTTGTCTACCGGAAAGACTTCGGAGATGGCCTCGAGGACGAATTTGGCCGGATCGACGCATTCGGCGAGGGCGACGGGGACCTCGGCGCGTAAACCGTCGAGCTCCTTCTTCTTGGCGCTGAGGAAGGTCCAGAAGCCGAAGGCGTCCATGCGGAGGCAGAAGGACTTGAGTTTGAGGACGAGGCCGGTGGCGTCGTCGACCTCGCCACCGTCGTCGTCGGCGTGCTCATCGAGGAAGGAAGAGAGGGCGGCGGTGCGGCGCGTGTCGAGCGTGCGGAAGGCGATCTGGAGCGTGGCGTCGAGGGAGGTTTCGCGGCGGTCGAGGAGACGGAGGGAGTCAGAGGTGGCGGTGTCGAGCGTACGAATCTTGCGTTTTAGAGCTTCGGATTTGTGCTTGAGGTCCTCCTCGAGGGAGGAGAAGTGGTCGGAGAGCTCCTTCCAGAGGAGGGTGCAGCTGGTCATGAGAGAGGTTTGGCGCTGGAATTCGTCGAAGCTGGGCTGAGTCAACTCGCTCAACTCGCCAGGATCGGGGATGGACCCCATGGTCGCGAACTCAGGAGAGAACACACGAAAACCCTACCTCGCTGGTTGGCTCACTCCCTGCGTTCAATCAATCAGAGAAGAATGAAGAAAGAACGACACAAAGAGTAAAGGTGGTGGTGGTAAAATGAAATGAAGAGTGAGGGAAACACCGAGTGCTGACGTGGGTGGGTAAGGTGGAGACACGTGTTGTCGCGGTCTGAAAAAGGTAGTTGAGGGGCGTTGCTACAATGCGCGGGTAGTGCGTACTTGAAAGTATTGTACTAATAGGGTGACCAACAAGATAAGATTATAAAAAACCCAACCACACCACCTTCATATTAGTTTCTATAAATTATTTATTTTCATTTCTCAAAATACAAAAATACGAACACACATGCCGCTATATATATACTATATACACTGCAATTTCATTTGAGATTATTATGTAAAAATAATTTGTTTATTTTTATAATAATTATTTTAAGAACTGTATTTAAAGCGACTTTTGACTTAGATAGTAATATAATATTTTCACACTAATAACGGCATTAATATTGAATTCAAATAAACAAATACATATTTAAAAACAAAGTTTTGGTATTTTTTTCTTCGTATATTTTCTCTTTTTGGTATATAACTTTTCGTACCTTATTTGAAGTTTAGCCCATTCTGGTAATAAATAATATTTATGTTTAAACAAATTTCTTTATAAACATTTCATTAATGTATCTAAATTTAACTAAAATTTTTAAATCTCAAAACTCAAAATTGTTTCCCAAATTATAATGTAATATATTTATACTAATATAGAAAGAATATAATTTTTTAAAATAGGTAAACATTATTTTCCCTTTTCTTAATTTTTACTAAATTTTAATGTTTATTATTTATAAAAAAATTGACATGTTAAATATCGCTTTTATTTTATTAGCTTCTATTTTTGTTTTAATGATCGTAAAATATAATAAATAAAATAAAAATAAGAGTTTCCATTCATTAATTATAAAAATGTATTGATTATAAACGCAATAACTGCAGGTATGCTAAAGCATATGTTCAGCTATCTTCATTTAACTTATTTTTATTTTCTCTCATACAAATCACAATGCTTTCTTTCACTGTCATAATATATTGTTATATTTTTTTTATATATGATAAAGCTTACACTAATTCATAAAAAAAAAAAAAAGCGTACTGTCATTTAACCATAAATTATCATATATAATAAATTTAATAGCTTCACAACTATTTTTAAATCAAGATGATTTTGGACAATGGTTCATAATGAAAAATATTTACAGACGAAATTTAAAATCATTAATCTCTTTACTAAAATAATCCAACCGTAAAATAAAATCACTTTAACATCGATACTGACTTAATCTTTATTTGTTTTTCTAATCATTGATTTTCTGTTGTTGTTAAGTGTAACCTCAATGTTATGTTTTCCTTCAAGCTAGGTTAGTTTTTGATAATGCCTAGTTTAACACAGTATTTATATCTTTCTATATTTGTATAAAAAGTGAAAAATTAAACTTTATAAAATATATATTTTAAAGGTAATTTCTCATTGATTTTCCTTTTTTACGTTTTTTAATATTCTATTTAATCTATCTTTTTTTCCTTTTGAAAACAAAGTCAAACGTTATCTAATTTTTCGTCGTATAAACATTTCTGTGTGACAACTTTTTTCGTCCTACCGTTTTCATGTACCAACCAACAGTAAAATATTACATGAAATTTTTTAATTAAAATAAAAGATAGCCGCAGTAATAAAAATAATAACACTAATATAACTATTAAAATTCAGGAAGTTAATTGGTAATAATCATTATTTTGAGCTAAAATGATATTATATTTATAGACGCAAAGGATTGAGTTGATTGATTGAAAATGATATGACATTATCTTCCTCGTACATGATACGTGTAGAAGGATTTAGGCTGATTCAGATTTGCCCATGTAATGGTCATGGAATCTCAAATTATGAAATGATATCTGAACAAAAACTCATCAGGTTTTATTAGTTTGACAATTGGAAGAAGAAGGGGTGAAGTGTAGGTTTTTAATATGATGCAGGAACAATATAATTTATTATTAAATGTGTGAAAATATTTAGCCTATGTTTGTTGCAAGTCATTTACTGTTTCAAAGGATAGAAAAGCGGGATGTTATTCATTTGTGGTAACTGATATGAGAGGATTTGCAGGCACGGATTTGAGGGAGAGGGGAGGAAACAATGCATCCACGCCTCCTCTAATTTATGAGAGGATTTGAGAGGATAACAGAGAAAGATACATCATCAACTGATAAATGACTTAAATACCCTTCTCCATTTCCTGCATGTGAACACACAGTGCATGCACGTCTCCTCTAATTTATGCAATATATGATAACGGTTAAATCTTAACTGCTATTATAATAGCACTTCTAATAGCGGTTAAAACTTAACCGCTATTATATAGCACTTCTAATAGCGGTTAAATCCTAACCGCTATTATATATTTTCAGATATGATCGAACAATCAAAAAACTTGTTGTATATGATAGTGGTTCCCCCAGAACCGCTCTTAAAAACAACTTGTAATAGCGGTTAAACCATAACCGCTATCTAATATATACTTTAGATAGCGATTCTAGAGGAACCGCTATTATATCCTCCAATTATGATCGATAATATCAAATTATGATCGAGCGAGGATGGTATTTCACTTCGAGCGAGTATAAGCGAAATACAACCCGAGACTTAAAATATTTTTTTGAATATTATGTTTTTAAATTTGCTATTAGAGAAAACCTTTCGAATTCAAAATGTTAAATACTTTTAAATATTAAAATTAACTTTATCAAAAATTAGGAAAACAAAATTTATCCAAAAGAGTTTAAAAATGTATAAGAGTATTCTCAATTTTGAGTTTAATTATATTGTTCATTCTCAAAGTAGAAATTTATATTGTAATTATTTTAATTTACATTTTGTGATCTTCTTAAAATTAACATCAATAACATTAGACTTTACATTTGATTCATACCTAACTAATTATAGATTAAAAGGAAAGTGGTATAACCATGCATTTTACTTTTCTATTTACCTTATTCTTTTAATTATTTTATATAATAATAATCAAAATATTCACATTCATATGGGCATTTTCGAAAATAATATTATTGTATTATTGTTAAAATTAGCATCAATAACATTACACTTGATCTTCTTAATTATATTGTTCATTCTCAAAGTAGAAAATTATATTGTAATTATCTTCAATTTATTAAAAGTGTAATTAAATCTCTATTTTCTTAATTTTTTTTGTTTCAAACTTCTCAATTCTACATTTTTGTAACTTCTATCATTATATTATCATCCTCATCTCCTTCCATGTTCTACTTTATCTTTACAATAGTTAATATTCTTAAATAATCTATATTTTTAATTATAAATTTTTAATATATATTTTAGAAATTAATCAATTCTAAGCTATTATTTGAAAAACTAATCAATTCTAATCAATAATTTAGAAAAATAATCGATTAGAATTAATTATTTGAAAAAATTATCAAATATGATCGATCATTTCGAAAATCTAATCGATCAGAATCAAATTTCGCTCGAGCGAGATATAGTCGCTCAAGCTAAACACAACCCGAGACTCAAGAAACTTAAAATATGGTTGTATATGATAGCGGTTCCATCTGAACCGCTCTTAAAGGAGCTTATAATAGCGGTTAAACCTTACCCGCTATCTAATATACACTTTAGATAGCGGTTACATGAGGAACTAGCTATTATATCCTCTAATTATGATCGATCATTTCAAATTATGATCGATCAAGATCGTATTTCGCTCGAGCGAGAGTATAATCGCTCGAGCGAAATACAACCCGAGACTGAATCTTAAAATATTTTTTTGAATATTATGTTTTTTAAATATATAATCAATGTTAAAATATGGATAATTTATTAAAAGTGTCGAGGATTTGAAAAAGTGATCGATCATTTTGGAAAAGTGATCGATCATTTGCAAAATTATATCTTCTAAAATATAATTTATTTTCATTTTTATAATATATATACAAATGAAAATAAGTTATATTGTGGAATATATATTTTATATTATAGTAATTAATATAAATTATATTTTAGAATATGTATATATATATATATGTAAATATAATTATACATCAAAATAAATTCAAATTCTGGAGCCTTTAGATAGCGGTTAATCTGGGACCGCTATCAGATGTGAACATATGATAGCGGTTCAGCTTTAACCGCTATCTAAGGTCTCGAGGAATTGAAAAAATGATCGATCAGAGTGCAGTTATGACCGATCAGATCTGTTTCAATCGATTAAAACACATTTCAATCGATTAAAATAACTTGGAAAATCTTTGTACAAAGTTTCAATCGATTAAAACGCGTTTCAACCGATTAAAACAACTTTGAAAAATTCTGTGCAGGTTTTTAATCGATTAAAACTTCTTTGTATCAGTTAAAATAACTTGAAAAGTTTTATAAGAAAGTTTTAAAGTAAATCAATCGATTAAAACGCAAATCAATCGATTGAATCACTCTTAGAAAATGTTTGTAAAATGTTTTAACTGATATAAACGTGGTTGTATCAACTAAAACAATTTTGATGAAGAAACAAGAACGCATTAATGGGTTGAAAGGACTTTTAACAGATTATAACGGCTATTTCAACAGATTAAAACAAACTTTCAACAGATTAATTAATGCAGCAGTTTTGAAATTACTCTTTAAAATCAGAGTTGCTTGGAACTTTTTAATCATTAAGTTTTTACACATCCTAGGCAATCAAATTCAAGCAACTATTAGCATCCTTTTCAAGAAAGATACGCAACTGTTTTGTGAAGCTTTTTGAAAATCTTTCTTGAGGCATATTACATTCTTTGAAAATATGGATATGCAATGTACATAATTTTGTAATTGTTTATTTATATAATTTTTAATAACTATTTAAAAAAAGTTAATTTTTTAAATTTGTTTCCAATTACAAACACTTTTAAATTTGTTTTTTCTTTTAAATATATAATCAATGTTAAAATATGGATAATTAATTAAAAAATTATATTTATAATCATTTGAACCTTATTTTATACAAAGGGTAAAATGGTAATTTTCTTAAATAATCAATTAAAATTATAATTTTTATATCTTATATCAATCAAATCATTCACAATTTCCCATAAATTTTCCTTTCACTTTCCATTCATCCAAACAACTTTAATTTCATCTCCATTTCTCTTCAAAACCCTCCTTTTCCACTCTCTCATTTCCAGTCTCTCAAATCACTCCAACTAAACAAAGCCTTAATGATTGTGAAGAATGTATAGGAATGTGAGATGGTGTGTGTACTAGGAAACATTATATAGGATGTAGAGTAGTTGTATATAAAATGGTAGGGAGAAGGAACTTTCCCAGAAATCGAAGATGGATCTGAGGAGAGAGAAAGAGAGATGGACAGGAGTGGAGCTCCACATGGGAAGAGTCAGAGAAAGTAGTAAAAGTGAGGGAAGAGAATGAAAGATAAGAATGAGTATGTATGAGATTGTAATGTAAATTAAATTCAAACCAAAGCGTCAAAAACAAACAAACACAACGAACAGTACCTGCCATAGCAGGAAGACACATGCATGCGTACAAATCTGTGTCCGTGTTTGGATAAGCTACAAGTTTCCGTCCACTTCCACCTCTCCTTTTAAATTTCACTCTCTCAATTAACAATGATTATATTCTTTACTGGATTCTTATTTCAATTCATTTTTTTTTTCTTGTGTTGTCAACCACGATCTCAAAGGCATTAGTTAATTAATAATATAACAAACATAATAAATTTTATATATATAAACCCCTTTATCATGTCGTGATTTGATCATTCCAAAAAAAAAATATAAACAATGTTACTCAGGATCATATGTTAAAAAAAAGTAAAAGTTGAGAGTGAGTATGAAAGCATATTTATTGTCTTTTCTTTAATATACATCTGGGAACTTAAAAGATTACTTTAATTTATGGGCTTAGACTTAACACATACCTCCCAAAATATCTTATTGGCTACATCATCCTTGTTCATTTTGTTAAATAATACAACTAATATCAAGAGTGGCCCTCCAATTCAAAAAAACATATAGATTTAAACATACATTTGCTTACAATGAGCACAAACAATAAAATATAAAAGCATGCAAGATTTTAATAGTGACTACAACTAACCAATGCACCTTACATAGGGTAAAAGGGCAAATCTGGATGATAAATACACAAACTGTATTTGTACCAATTTATACTCAGAATATATATAACTTATATTTTATATGAGACATATTGGACAACATATTACGTTCGTTTAAATGAATCAGCAATATAATTCTTAGCACGAGATAAAAAAAAAAAAAAAGATTATACAACAATCCAAAACAATTTTCACTATCTTCTAATCATAAATTATCATGAATGATAAATTTATTAACTTTTGTCATAATTACCTTAAAAATCATATCCATATTTTTTTAACAATGCCCAATGACGTATAGCCATTAAACTTCTTTAAATAGATGTAAATACGAAGAAACCAAATAAGAAAATAGAAGATAAAGAAATAATATATTAAGTATATAAAATTATAAGGTTAAAAAATATATAAGCAAAAGTCATACATAAGCAGTTTAATAAGTTTAAATATGTAAAATAATAACAAATGCCTATTAATATCCTAAAGATATTGGTTAAAAAATTGAGAAAAAAATTATTTTATTGAAATACAGAAAAATACATTTTCCTATAATCATGTAATGTGTCCTCATGACTCTCTCTCTCTCTCTCTCTCTCTCTCTCTATATATATATATATATATATTAAAAAAATGATTTTCAAGTTGATTTTAAAGAAAAACAAAAGAGAACTCGTTAGGTAAACACATTGGGTACTGTATCTCCATTACCCAAATACTTCCCCTTAACTTGTCACTATTAACAAAATAAAAATTGAGGACAAGAAATTATCCACTGCATTCACGTGTGTATCTGAATGTTGATTATCATACAATAATAAGAAGTCAACAATAATATCTTAAACCCTAAACATAACTTTTAATGTCTCTAAAAAAAGGGTCTTCTAATGCGAAATTGTCTTGAGTGAAGATGTATTTACTATTAAATTTTAATAATATAAACATAATATACTATAAACTAAACCAAAGATAAATACTACACACTAAAGAAACGAGATCACTTGAAAGTAACACAATCCTTACTATCTTACGACAAAAAGAAACCTACATCTCCCAGCAAATCTTGTAGCCAGACTACAACTGCAGTTATTCACAAAAACTACTTTGCTGATGTACGGACAACAAGATCCAGCTTAACTTCATACTCCAGTAGAATCCACTTCTATGATAAAATATTTCTGTACCCCACTTGTTGTCCAGAGTAATATACAGAAAACATGCATTGGTATGAATACAATCACTAAGCAGTGTCGTTGCTATGAATACAAAATCTATCAACTAAACCATAACCTTTTTCGTTCGAACTTTAGGTTATATCATCTACCAACTCCCATTCACGGCCTTGTCCAAAAATTCAAAAAAAGGTTCAAAGAAAGATAAAATAGAGTAAACGAACACAATCCACTAGGATTTTGCAGTGGGCAGAGGGTTTCATCTAGCAATTAAACTGAACTGCAAACAATCAATTACGATGGCTACTGATAAGGGATTTACAGAGTTGGCAGGAAATCATGAGTACAAATTTCTATGCCCCACCATTGTAATTAAAAAATGTAAACTGTAAACAAACAGTTCCCATCCAACATGGGGAAAAGTTGGGATAAGACTAAGACTTAAGATACCAGTCATTGACTTTAAGTAAGATAGTGCGTTCCAGGCTGTCAGATGGTGGAAAGGAAATCAAATCTTCTTAATGTTCCTAAATATATTAACTATGGCAGGAAAATTCAGTATAAATTGAGAATTAAAATAAAAATGATGGAAACGCTGCCCCCTATCGTACATTTAAATGGTCAGCACAATACATAAAAGCTTTTATCATCTTCAGTAATCGTCACTATGCAACAGGAAAGACTTTCCATGTATCCCGTTTTACATTGCCATATAGTCCAAACACTACATAGGTGGTTTGTATTCTCTCCTGCTCTCTATGACAGCCTTCTTCCTTGTATCAAAATCAACTTTGTCAAGATCAAAAGCAGTCCCAAGATAGCCATACAAGACCCTCCTTTTCTCTCCTTTTTTCTCATCCACCTTCACAAGGTTTGCATTATTCTCATCATCCTTCCCTAATGTTTGTGACTGTACACGGGCCCAATCATTGCGTCCATGGTTTTCCTTCTCAAAGTGTTCAGCAAGTCGAATGGCTTCCTTAAAGCCTGATTGGTCCCCAGCAAATTTAACCAGTGTTATGCCCAAATGACCATCTCTTCCATATAATGACTTTGATTTGCCACCTATAAATCCTAGCTCTGGAAAACCATGCATGAAGATCAGATGGAAAAAAGATTTTGTCAAAAGCTCACTTTATCATCAGATATCAGAAGATGGTTCAAAAATAAACTTTAGAATTTGTTAGGTGCTTCCTAACAAACAATGAGTTAAATGCTGCCATCAAAGGTACATCGACAAAGTAATTTACATCATCACCAAGGAGATTGTGAGCCAACAAAATGCTGTTGGTACGGAAAACTACAAGGAGTGAAATCTGGTGGAAGTACAAGAGAAAAGGCAAAGGGCAGAACAGTGAACAAAACTATCTAAATCAAGACCAATGACAAACTATTCAAACCAAGCATGGGCAAGCAAATGGACTATTGGAGGATAGATTTTTCAGTATCATCTATCCATCAATATATATGGTTTATTCAAATAGGATAAAACAAACCAATGACAATCTGATATAATATATTAAAACCAAAAACAGGTCTAAACTGAATTAGCTTATAGACTACTTAAAAGAACAAAATAACCAGCTGAGAACATGCAATAATACTACAATAACAATTCATAAAAGATTAGCTAAACTCACAAAGTAGTAGGTGATAAAAAAGAGAGTTCAAGAGATACTAGATGCTGTTACGTGGAGCTAGAAAGTGAGAGATTAGAAAAAATGGAACAAGTCCCCCTCAAAAGAAAAGTATGCAAGCAGAAAAAATTAATGCATCACACTAGTCATTGAGATTTGACAAAGATAGTAAATCCATGCCAGGCTGAAAATTCCATTTGAATGATTTAAGGTATCAAAAACAATAGACAAGTACTTCATACAAATTAAAAGTAGAATTGGGTCAAGAAACCCATAGATAAAATTAACTCCTTTTCACCTTGTTCAAGAAAAGGCAGTAGCATAACCTTGACTAGTTAAAAATGCTGACAAGCAACAAATATAGTTTGAATTTCCTAATCTCAATATATATAACATCAACACTACAACACGTGTTGAAACAATATGGCTAAGCATCAACTAAATAATGAATGGTAAACAAAACAACTATCCTCACAATAACGCTAATCACTTTCCTGATTGTTACAACAGATAGCAATAAACACGTGTGCATAAATTATTTGCTACATGTAGACGTGCATAAATGGGCAGGAAAGAAAGATATGCACATGCACAATTTAATATTCTCCATCTCAAAATAAACACCCTCAGTGCTTGATGCAAAATCAACATAGTTAAGCATAAACTAGAATCATGTCCAGATCTTTTAAAAAATATGAAGGACCGTCCCACATAACATTCACCAAACTACTTTCTTGTTCTCCAACATACCATCATTAAAATATCAATATATGCATGAGAATGCATAGTTACATATATAAATGGACAAGTTCATATGTCCACAGACACAATTCAACTCAACAAATATATATCCTCAAGGATAGGTGTCATATCAAATGAAGAACATAGTCAAGAAACAGCTAGATTAACGTCAGGAAAACTTAGGCACAAAATGAAGAGCAACACATCCTATTTGTTTTCTTTTAATCGACAAATGTTAGCTGTTAATATATTAGTTTTTGTCAAAAGGAGGATTTGAACTTGCGTCCTATCCCACGTCCTCTTCAATTCCGTTTACATTTTACCACCAAGCAAACCTTATAACCTTAAGAGCAACATATCCTACTAGAATAACATAGTTAAGAACATTCACATCCTACTTTCATGGTTGTACAATTATCTGCCATCGGGATTTGAACCCAAGTGTGCATGCATAAATGCACAGGTAACAAATAAATATCCCCTAGCAGTTATGCAATCTAGGTAGAAGGATCTATTCATGAATAACTCTCTCCATCTATCTACCAGAAAAGCAACTTATATCTAGCCAAAGGAACTTAAAATTAAACAAGAGAATCATCCACTAAATAAAATTATGAGAGGGGGCTGTAAGAACGTGATTCCGTTCAGGTCACATACAGTCTAAAGAATGTGCCACAATGGATGCCTTTAGCAAGGGTCAGCATGTTAGGCTTCCAAAAAGTAAGCTTACTCGACTAACACTGAAATTAATAAACCTTCAACAGGAGAAATAAAATTAAAGAAATTCATTAAATCCAAAGTCCAATCTCTATTTTATTCTCTATTTTTTGGCTTATATACATATATATATATATATATATATATATATATATATATATATATATATCCTTGTACCAGTTATGGCTTAAACTTATTCAAAGGACTGCATTAAAGGATCCCATAATTTGTTTGTCAATGACAGTATCATTGTGCCAACACCCATGTTTGAGCTACTCACCATTGCTTTTCAGTTCTCATAATTCAATATGCAATTATAAAAGGTAAGCAAAGAAACACCCATTCCATTAACCCTTACTACAGTGCTCACAATTATTCCTAGAAGATCAACAATAATGGGTGGAGCGGAAGGGAAGTTTTAGTGGCCTAGAACAGGTAACTAACAACTGTAATGATAAATTGAGACCAATGTTTAGTAGTTCATTTGATAGGAAGAAGTAGAGTGCAAAGGAGAGGAGTATAACAGTCATCACGAAGCAAAATGGGAAGGAGTACAATTGCCATTAATAGTATAGCATAAATTGAATGGTAACTCATAAGGAAAAGAGAGGAAGAACTTCTATAAATATGTCGATTAAACTGTCTCAAAAATTAAAAATAACATCCATTGTGTATATCTAAGCATCAAGTGGAGGAATAACATAGTGCCCCCAAGTAAAGCTACATGCACAAACACACTTTTTCACTTATCATCAAGATAAATTTCACCATCTGATTGCAGTTAGATGCACCAATACATAAACTTTTGCATGCATGAACTTATTTTCTGCCACCTAAATTATGACACGTGACTCCTTTTTATGAGAGTATCAGACATCCACTCAATGCACTCTAGTTTCACTCTAAATCAAGAGTGACACGTAATCATTAGTAGTGAGGAGTTGAATCCCTAGGAAGCTATACCTAATTGTTAGTATGACAGTTACATCCAATGAACCCAAAATCAATCGAAAAATGAGGAAAAAAAAATCTCTGACTACAAGAAAATTTAACCAATATGTAAATTTGACGAAAACCATCTAACAATTCTAACTCATCTACTTGACTCAAGAATCTATGCATTATGAGAAATATTCTGAAAACTTAGTACAAGTAAATCTAGAAAGGAAAACTAGAATAAAACTTAGAATAGAAAATGATAAACAATTTGTCATAATCTTGTCAAAGCTGGAATGCAAATGCATCTATGGGTTTAGAGTGAAATATACTCAGTCATTGAGAGCTATAACTGCACATCAGAAGCTATTTTTAACATACCAAATCATAATACCAGAAAGTTACAGAAACACTAACTATATACGTTAACAGCTTCAACTACATATGTCAAACCGAGACATAAAGGGGCAGAAAATACTAATGAAATGAAAAGGTAAAAAAAATTTAGAAATGGCCCAACTTTTGATAAAAATAAATTGTTATTCAATACACAAACCAGAGCAAGAACCTACCATGAAAATATATAAGACAGAACATATTTCTATGCAAAATTTAAAAAATGCAAAAGAGGAACCTTGACAGAAGAAATTCAAAAATCTCTTGATGTCAATGGAAAGTCAAATAAAAACAAAATTTGTATTTTAAAATATGAATGAGACTCTGATGTCCCAGTTTCTAGTTTGATGTCAATGACAAATCCTATAAAATCAAAATGATTTCTCATCTACTTATCTTTGAAGAGAAAATTCCCTAAGAATCCTAAAACCGAGTTTGGCTAACTAATAAATATTGGGAAAGGTAACTACTGAAACTGCTTCAAAAGGGTCAACTCAGTATGCATGCAATAAAGATTTTCCGGAGCTCATTACAGCAGTTAACAGAGACATTATACTAGAAGATGATAAAGAATGGAGGGTCACATTATACCTCTAATTTTATTATCCATTGTTTTGTTTCCCAAACCCTCCATACGACCATCTCTATTTTTTCCGGTATTTGTGTTATGAATGATCACCAAAGGTGGCCACATGATCAGATCATCCTGATTTGCTGCTGCTTCATCAGCAGATAAAAACTGATATGCCTTTGAATTATCTGGAGGCTTTGAGTAGTTCCAACCCATTAAGACACACAGAGCTTTGTGTAATCCCAAATGATCAACATGTGAATCAACATTATCTGAGTTGTAAGTGTGCATGATGAGAGCATGCATATCTGGAAAATCTTTAGCAGACCTGAAAGTTGGCATATCAAGGGCATTGAAGAATATATTTTAGGTTTTCATTCTGTAAGTACACAGAAAAGGAAAAGTAAAAGTAGACATTTATTTCCTTTTATTTATATTTAAAACCTAACATGTTCTTTTGAACTAAGTCACACGGAGAACCTACATTCTAAAGTACATCTTACAACCAGGGACTACTTAAGAAAATCTGAGAGAGTGGGAAGCACGACCCCTGAAGCTTCTAATCAGAACTACAACATAGCTTGGTAACAGACAGTTACAGATGAGCAAAGTACAAATGTACCTTTATATTGCCTGAATACAAATGGAATAATTTTCCATGTTGTTAGTTGCGGATCACGAGTTGCATATATTAGCAACTAAATCTTGTATAAAACAGTTAATCAGATGCTCATACTCCAATGGGACAAATAAAGCTCTCTCTAAAGAGATACAGAAGGATAACTCGAATTGGTAAAAAATTGTTCTCACCAAAGTTTCTGTTCTCAAAAGAGTTCAATCATTTGCAAAGACATCAGAGTACAGGCCACATGAAGCTGAGACTCAACTTCAGATGTACTAAAGAAAACTGACAGGGCATAACCTGGGACTTATAAAGCTAAATTCCAGTAGAAAAGGAACAGGTAAGCAATAAAACATACAAGAACATGTATATCATCAACTTCAAAGAAGCAAGAGATAAATTGTATGAGGAATAGATACATGGCTCTGAGGTTCTACTGAAGGCAGGAGATTAATGAAGCCCACTTATGTATTTAAGATAATAAGAACAACCCACGGCAAGGGCGTCTCTATGACCCTCAGAAAATGCCCAAGATCCTAAATTTCTTTTGCAACAAACAGCAAAATAGCCCTAGTTGTAATAAGCAAATAACTAAAATAACAATAATCTAACAACCACTGCACCACATGTTCATAATATAATAAAGACTGAATATATATGGAACAAAGAAGGCTATGTTGCTTTCATATGTTATAATAATTAAGATATTGATGGCAATGTCATCCACTTTATCAATCAAGCAACATTAGAGCAAATGGACAAAACAAAGGCAAACCACAAGTCTCCCATTAAGTGGGATCTATTCTCACAATTTGATACCATGGCCTCTAAACCTTAGGCTATAAAGCAGCAACCTTGTTGTTACTCCAAGGCCCACCATCTAAACCAAGTAAAACTATTAAAAAAAAAATGAAAGCTCGGCTATTTCCATATTAAAAGGTATAGAGAGCTATAAACTTGTTCCCGATATAAAGCAGAAGTGCTAAGAGCTCTAAGTATGCTATACGGCAACCAAGATTGATCCGAAGACAAGCCACTAGCCCGTAACAAATGCATAGGCATTATGAGATAACCAACTTCATAAGTATATATGATGTAAGAATTATTTTTGCAATCCATAAGATCCTAAAGAATCATCAACTCGATTCATAGTTACCATAGGTCCAAAAATACCATTGCCCACTATTGCAACAGCAGCAAAACACAAGTTCAAAAGATACAGCAGCCAGTTCAATATCGATACTAATGGAAATGGCTGCATATAGACAACAGAAAACAACATAAATACAAGTAAACAAAATTCAAGGGCTTATTACATGACTACTCATTATTCTCCAAGAACCAAAGATCCTTCATCGAAATTTCATGACCATAACTTTTTTGCCAATGAAATCACATGTGCAAAAAAAAAATTACAAAACTAATTTTCAGTTCTGTCATGTATAAAATTCAAAGGTGACCATCAAACGAGTAGAGATTTTTATGGACTAAAGAGAGATAACTCTTAATACTCACAAACATGACATCAGAAGCTTCATGATTAGATTGTATGCTGTCAACTATACGCGTAGAACTGAATTTGAAAACCTATTTCCAGACTAAATTTGCTAGCTTTGTCAGTAAATGAATGAGTGCTATTGCTATTAGATTTTGTGGGGCTAGGTAACCATAGTTCACAAAATAGAATTGAGATGCTACAATGGAAAGAAACAACATTAGGATCAGGAACCTAATATTTTCCAAAACCTAAGCTCCAGATAAATCTGAGTGGTAAGTGTTGATAACATGATTGAAATAAAATAATCAACTTCCACTGCTCAACAGAGCCGCACAAGTTTCCGAGACAGGAAACGATCCATCTTCTAAAACTAAAGACACTTTCATTTCTTAATAATTTAGATGTATCACAAATTTTACAAAATCCAAATAGCCAATTTGTCAACCATCATAGCCAATTTGTGAAGGAGACCCACTATGGCAGCACCATAGGCCACAATTGCATGTTTATAGGACAAAAGAAATTGGCATTTCAACATTGACAACATTGTTCCTTGTATACCTAAACTAAAGAGATAGTCAAAGAATGTTGAATGGAAAATCATCTGTATATTGCAATTCAGAAAATGAACGAAGGTAAAGAGATAAAGGTACAGAGCCTATCTAAAATCTAATCTGACAGTTAAATGATTTATTACAATCAGCTAATTATTACAATCACACTAATTCCAGCTAGACCCAGAAATGATGTTTTCTTAAAAAGGAAGCACAAGGAGGTTTAGCTGGCAGAGAGTCTGGCCACTTTGGCTCAGGCAAGACACACCTTTAGTGCCTCTAGTTGTCAGTCTTCGGGATCTTAACAGTAAGAAGCTGAGTCATCAAAATTAGCGGCTTATTATAATTTTGACTATGACTGTTAATATCAAGTGCTGAAAGACGGATTTTTGAAGACATTGAGAAAGAATGGTGTTCGTGTAGCTTATATCCAGACTATTACAAGATATGCATGGTAGAACTACTAGTTTGAAATTCTAAAGAGATGGGATTACATCAAGACCCAGCCTTAAGTTCTGACTTGTTTGTTTAATCTAGTCTGGGATTAGCTTACGAGGGGCATATAGAATATAATCCCTGATCCGATACATTTTGGAGATGATATACTTTTGATTGAGAAATCAAGGGAAGTAGTTAGCTTTAAACTAGAGCTTTGGGGACTAACTTTAGAAGCAAAGGATTTTCGCTAAAGTAGGGGTAAAAGGTAAAGTAGATGCATCGCAATTTTAGCAAGGGTAGAAGAAATATGTCTTAGAAGTAAACAAGAAAGAAGACATCAAACATAAGTTTCGAAGTTTAAGTATTTGAATAAATATTACAAAATGATGGGCAAATGAACAAGAATTTAACACATGATATAAACGGGATAACTAAAATGAAAAAAGTATCATGATTGCAAAGTAACAGGGAAAGTTCAAAGAGGCATTTCATTGTACTACTATACTTTATAATACTGAAAGTCAGACTTTAAAGGAACAACAATAGAAAAAGGTTGAAGTAGTAGAACTGAACTGATATGCTACAAAAGGAAGAAACAAAAGTAGGATCAGGAACCTAATATTTTCCAAAACCTAAGCTCCAAAAAATCCAAATGGTAAGCGTTGTCAACCTGAAAAAAGTAATCAATTTCAACTACTCAACTGAGTAGCACAACATTACAAGACAGGAAAAACTCCATCTTCCAAAGCTAAAGACCCTTAACTTCTTACAAATTTTAACACTTCTTTTTAGGTAGTCAAAGGAGCGCCTCTGGTGAAAAAAACATATTACTTAAAGAAAGTCCAGCCCAGCCACTTTGGTTCAGGCAAGGAAAACTTTTAGAGCCTCCAAAAGTTTCAACATAACTGGTTGTCGATCTTCTGTATCTTAGCAGCAAGAAGCTGGGTTACCTAAATTTTGCTACTTATGATAGTTATGCTAAGGTTGAATAGTTAATCTGTACGGGAAATAACGCAAAATAATCATAGTTTACAATTCCCTCCTCCTTCTTGCTCATCTAATTTTTTTATGCCTATTGCCTGAAGCTGTCGAAGCTGCATATCACCCTCAAGACCATCAACTACAACCTTGCTTTTAACGCTATAAACAAACACACCACAAGACAAACATGGAAGAAACAATGGTAATGATGTGAATTGCACCAAACCTGCCAGTTCCACAAGCAAGACAATGAAGGCGTCCCTGCTTCCCATCCTCCAAGTAACTCCTCTTCTGCGAGACATTCTCGTTGATGAGCTTCGTAAAGTTAACAAAGGCTTTCTTCAAAGCGTCCTGATCCACCTGAGAGTGCCTACTGAAATTTGCCCCGTCGTGCCTCGGGTGCTTGGAGGGCCTCCTTTCAGGGGGGTCCACCAATTCACGCTTCAGGGTTGCACCGCCGCTGGGGCCCGCAGAGAACTCGCCGCCAGGAATCCTAGAGAGGCCATTGGCGTTACGGAGGAGCTGCTCCCTCTGCCTGGCGAGGTCGTCCCGGGAGCCGTCGTCGTTACCGTACTTGCGCTTAGTGACGCCGGGAAGGAAATCGGGGAGGCGGAAGCGGCCGGGGCTGAGGGGCGGAGGGAAGCGGGGAGGGAAGTCGAGAGGGCGGGGCGCAAAGTCCTGATAATCGGGAGGAAGGGCGAAGTAAGAGCGTACGCTGCCGTCAGCGAGGACGATAGTACGGCGTTCAAGCATGTGAAAGCCGTAGGCTGGAGGAGGGGGTGGGCCAAGAGGGGCGGGCTCCGGGAAGGGGAGGAGCGGAGGGTGATTGGATGGGTGTTTGGGGCTAGGGTTAATGTTAGGGTTAGGGTTAGGTTTAGGTTTGGGTTTGGGGGAAGGGGCGGTGGAGGGTTTGGGATCCGGTGGGGATTTGGCGGAGGAGGAGTTGGGTTCCCAGCGGGATTTGCGGTGGGAGGCGGAAGCAGTGGCGGATGGCGGAGGCTTGTTGTGAAGAGAGGACTTGGGATGGTTGCCGCCGGCCATCCTGCGGGGAGGAGGTTGGAGGGGATCTTTGCCAAACCGGCTTACTTTCAACGCTGGGCACTGCTTTGTCTGCTTTAATACTACTTCCCTTTCTCAACTTTACAAGGTAAGTTCGATGAGTATAGTTTAAAAAATATATATTAAGAAAGGAAACAGATACAACGGTGCCAAGAAGCTCAACGTCACATTTTTATTTTATAGGTGAGGGTTACAAACCACCTTATCACTCACTATCATCATGTACAGAGACTATAAGTTAATAAATTAATTTTATTACATATTATTCTTTCATGAAAAAATATACTTTGACAACTATTTTTAATAATATATTTAAATTATAAGTATAATATGCTATCAAATGAGTATATATCACCATCCTATTTTAATCACAGATCTAATATAATAATATATTTTTCTTGTCTTAACTTTTTTACGATTATTTTTTACGATGGCATTTTAATATATGATTATCCTCATATTTGTATCTGCAATATTGCCTCCACAAATTCCTTCGTCTCCCCTGGATGCATTGAAATCTTTAGATATATTTTTGTGGTAGAAAATCTCTACTATTTGGATTTGTAGTAAATTGTTTGTATTTTCTCATTGATTTTCTCTTCTTATGTTGGTTGCTTTACAAGAGAAGGTTTTGGTTACGGAGGAAGAAACGTATGTTGGGTCGTTGGAAAGCCAGCAAGGGAGGTGGAAGATGACAAGGACGAAGATGAAATGGTTTGTTGGAGTCAGAAAAGTGAAGGAAGAGGAAGGGGATGGAAGGAATTGAGGAAAGAGATTCGAGGGACAACCAAGCACCGTGGGGTCTTAGGTCAAAACTGTGACCATTGCAGAAAAATATATAATTTAGATTAATTTGAGAATTGGTGTAGTATGAAAAACCATATATGATAATGATGATATTTGGAAAACCAAATATATTACTCATATTGGAAAACCTTTGGATAAGCCTGTGTTGCGGGATTTTGGAGAGCGTGTGGTTGCTTGCAAAGCACCGGCAAGAAAACCAAAACATTTTCATCTCTTTCTTCCAAATGCTATTATTTTCTGAGTGTTTGTTCAGTAATTCCAGCCGTTAAATTCTACAATGTGCTTAATTTTTTTGGAATTTTACTGTGATTTATGATACCGAATCTTGAACCGTTCATTGTTTGTTGTTTGCTAGTTGCTAGTTGCTAGTGCATATTTCTTGAATTTATACAGATCATTGCTGATTTTTGAATCGAAAGTTTTGCGGCGGAAGCGGGCGGAGGGAAATCGAGAGGACGGGGCGCAAAGTGATCGTAATCAGGGGGAGGGCAATTAGTTATGTATCAATGTGTGTTTGTGTGAACATGTGTGCAATTTTCAGTTAATTGTATAACAAGCTATAGATGCCGGAAAAATATTATGATTAACTAGGCGGAATGATACTCTTAACTAGCTTGATTGATGAGATTACTACTACCTCGTGTATTTAGTGGATGTATGCATTGTGGAAATTTACAAAAGGAGGATGAGAATTATCCTTTGTTCGATTTCAAATTCCAAGAAGATTTGATATTGCAGGTGCGTGCTATAATTGCAAAATGTTCTTTTCCTTTTTGCTTTAGTGCATGCTTGGTGACACCTTATGAAGTGATTTGTTCCGGTTGAACATGTTTCCAATCATAGCTTAGTAATTAGTATGTTTGCTGCTTCTGTATTACTCTTCTTCCTTGAGGTTCCTGTTTTACTAGTTGTCATGCTAAATGGATTGCATAATTCTTTTGAATTGTTATTTCTTGGTTGATTACATAGAGAGAATGACTTATTCTGATGAAGAAGGAAAAAAAGAATAGAATCTATAGCAATATCATGTATAATTTGTGAGGACAAGATGATATACTAAGTACAGAATGTCCTTCATTTATTGACAACTTCTACAACATAACAGATAAACTGAAATCCAGGTCTAATATTGTATTGTCTCCCCTGGAAGCTTCATCAAGTCGCAGGCATCTTTTAGTCATTGTTGGCCCTTCATTGGTTACCTTGACATGTGGTTTGTCACCATCATTGGTTTGGGCCGAAGAGAAGTCCGGTGACAAAGAGGAAGAAGATAAAGGGATTATTGGGGCCATCAAATCATTCTTCGATCCTAATGAGAAAACAAAGTCTGGAAAGGTGTTGTCAAAGGCTTACTAAAGTCAGCAAGAGAAGTAGTGAAAACACTGCGTGAATCTTTAAATGAAACCACTGATGATATTGCCAAATTTAGACGGACTGCAGATTCGGCAAAGGAGTCAATTCAGGAGTATTTGGGCAGTTGGAGGGGAAACCAAACTATTGTGCAAAAAGTATGGATTTCTACCTGAAACTCTTGAAGCAATGAAAATTCAATGAACTTGACTATTAATATGCAGAAGTTTTGCTGCAAATTACCCTTTCAAAGATATGTACATATCTCTATATATAGATATATATGATCATGATTTTAATGCCTTGCAGGAATCATATGCTATTTTGGAGAAAGTAATAAGATCTTTTGGTAAACTTTTACTCAAAAGCAGGGCCATCAGCTCCGCTGTCGCAGGAAGTTAAGTCTCAAATATTAAATTATCTAAATACAGCTGAAGAATTTTTGCAGAATATCTTTCCTAGTGTTACGGAAATAACACCAATTTAACTCACTGGATGCTAGATGGCATGTGACTAAGCAAAATAATTATTCATTCAAGTTAAAATAGTACCAATAAATTGATCAAACTTTATTTTTCATCTGAATTTTGCTTGCTAGTTTTTCCTCCACTTCCGTTTCTCTTCCGTATTCTTTATCCAAGTCCATATTAATACAAAGTGCAAAATACCTTTCATCTTGTTTTATTTCCATATATTTACCAGTAAATAAAGAAGATATGCATTAAGAAATTTAAAATTGTGATCGAATAATAAACATATACATGATAATTATTTAAAAAATTAGTTAAACTATTTTATACTTACAGCAAAATAAACTTGGTTTATTTAACACTAATCGTAACTGTTTTTCATCTCATCGCCACAAAATAATATAACGTTAGTCATTCTGAAGCCTGTGCCTCGGGCGCAAGATGAATACATTACTTTTTAGCATTAAATTTTTTATATTCCTGTCGTACTTAATTTCGGGCAATTATCTTTTACATTAAAAAAATTTTATTTTTACTTTTTAAAATTGAGGGGAAAAACGATATATCTGCACAAGTTAAGAGAGTTAAACTAATTGAACTTAAAATGATTAATAAAATTAATTGATAGTTTTTTGAAAAATTATAATATAAATTTTAACATAATTCAAATTAATATAATATTTTTAAACTTTATCCTCATTTTATGTATTAATACTAAAATAAAAATTAGATGTTTAGATTATAATCTGATACAATATGAAAAATTAAAATTTGATGAGTGGGAAAAGTGGAAAAAAAAGTGGTACTGTTCAACATAAGGATAAAAGAAATTTTAATAAAATAGTGATGATTAAAAAAAAAGCTAAAAAGGTTTTTATAACATAAAATGTTAGAGAATGCAGTATTTTAAAAATGTTAAAAACTAATAAAATAAATTCTTTTACTAAAGAGTTTGTATCTTACTCGAAGAATTGTGTTAAGATAAAAGTTGAACTAATATAACTATACTGTAACGGAAGAGTATAAATTAGTTTCTGGCGCACTAGTTTTTCTTTTCTATTATTTATTTAAAATAAATATATAAAAACAGCAGAAAAAATATTTTATTTCTAAAATAAATATACGTACAACAAGCATTTATCACCACACACTCTGTTCCCCCACATAAGCATTTATCATCACCAGCATCTAAGGCTTGATTGTGGAGTCATATGATATCCCAAAAAACCATGAATTTCCACTAGCAGAAGATATTAGCTACGAGACAGAACCCCTTTCGAGCTGCACATAGAAATCAACGGATAGTATTAGTTTTTTTACATGACAAGACAATCACATTCATGGAAATGCACATAGTTTTCATAGACACATTGCAAATGTAAATCCAAGGCATGTAAACAAACAAAGATTATATCATTTGAAGAAATTATGGAGCTGGTTCATCCTATACAGGAGAGATATCGTTTTTGTTATAAAAAAAGGAGAAGAAATATAAATGGTTTTCAAGTAAGACTAGCAAGAAATAATATAGCGAATAAAATCTAATTCTCGTCATCGTAAAAATTAAAAGGCAGCAGCATACCTTGTTACAGTTCCAAGGCGATGTGGATCATACTCTGTTGCTTGTCGAAGAGCCCTAGCAAAAGCTTCAAAGGTTGCCTCAATAATATGATGGGAATTTTTTCCAGCAAGCTGTGCCCAGAGGAATGCATATATATTCTGTTACAAGGTTTTCAAAATTGGAATAGAAGACATCAACTAGAAAAAAGAAGCATAAGCCCCAAGTTGAATTATGTAGTCAACCTGTCAACGCATGAAGAAAACAAAATCTCATCTTTCTAAACTATGTGGCTATGAGATATATCAAAGAGCCCTGGTAAAACATCTATAATAACATCCAGGACGTTTCATTTATAACTGATCATGACCTATTTCTATGAATTAATACCTGCTGAATGTACCAATGATTGGAAGAAATGTTCCACCAACTATAAACGAGAATATACAGTAAGAATAAAGGGAAAGACAAAAGGATCAAGAAGCATGGTAGATGATTCACATCAAAAAAATACTTGGAAACATGAGAAGCTCAATAAACAAAATTCTAAACTTAAATGAATATTGACAGGCATACACTACCTGAGTGTCGTATGTCCCGACCCTCTGAGTGGGTATGTCCAAATTATAACATAGATATGGCCAGCCAGACATATCCTGGAAAAGTGTGCAAAGAATCCATGTTCGAAGTATAGAGAACACGAGAATTTTTATTGCTTGACAAAAAGATGAACAGAAAGATCAAGACATCTCCTCCAAGGGTTTCCCCTCACAGCTGAGCAACTGTTCTATTTACCCAATGCTAAAAAAATTGGATGTTAATTACCACTACTACTCCTCTTATTTAAGCTTAATATCTGTCCTTCCAACCACTCTCTACAATACCTAACCTCTGACTAACTGTTTGACATCTGGGAATCTGAATAGAAAAGCAGGAAATAGGCCATAAAGTAATTAAAAAATGACAAATTTATAGTGGAAAAGCACGCCTATAATAGTGATTAGATTGGACACTATAACTTCCTAATTTCAATTCAGAAGCACTGTGTATACATACTTCTAGAGCTGATTAATGATCGAGTCTCAAAACAAGCTCATATATGCGGTGCCTCTTTGTCCGAAGTAACCACCGAACTTTGAGAGTAATTTGAATTTTTTTATACTCATTACAAATATGACAGGCGTACTATTATTAAGGCTACACATTTTGAAGGGTGTTTGTTCATTTACCACGTGTATAAGCAAGGACAAATCACATTTTCCCACAACACATATGTTAACATTCACCAATAATCAATTTCTATACAGATAGTATGCAAATTACTAGCGAAAAATGTATCTATGTTTCATCAAGTGGAGCAGAGAAGTTACCAAACCAGCTAATACCCGTCCTATCACCAAAAGCTTCCAGCAAAGCCTGAAGATGTAGTAATAGAAATCTCTTAGTTTTAACATGATGATAAATGCAAAATTAAAAAAAAAAAAAAAAAAAAAAGACGAGTGTGATTACAAATCCCTGATGCTATAAGATTAGAATTGGCAAATCATCGGCAATTACTTAGATACCATTGTGCATAGAAAGGAAAAGATAAAAAATATAAGTATATAAAGATACAACGTGCACACCAATCTTCAATGCAAGATAATGAAGCATGTTTTAGTCTCGAGGAACAACTGTAATATAGAAATCCAAAAAGGAAAGAAAGAATCAGTTCATGTAATTTGCATACTGTTCAATAGCAAGGGGGCGACGTCTTCATTTGTGTGATGATCATCAATATGTATGTCACCTAGTGTACATCAAGTTGCTGAAAAACCAAACCCAAGTTTAGTTTCATAATTATTATCTCCATTGAAGAATTTTACATCCTCAGTAGCCTTTAGTGTTTAGTTTCCAATAGAGGTCTCAAACTAGCTCCCTAAAAATTTGGCCTACTTAGAAAAGTAACAAATTAATAATAAACAAATAAAATATAAAATACTATTTTTAAAATTTAAATTATATTAATGAAATTAACTTTAATTTTGAATATATAAATTATAATCCATATATATGTTTTAATAAAATAATTTTTTTTTTAAATATAATTATTCTTTTATACAATAATTCCGCTTATAAAATTTTATATACAATACCATTCTAAGTTCGTTTGGACTCCAGGTTAGATGGATCACATCAAATATGACCGACTAAATTTAGACCATAATAATTTGGCCTGTAGGCCGGCCTTCCATCGCACCCATTTTGACAACTTGGAAGATAAAACACAGACAAAAGACTCCTCATTAATGATCAAATTCTAACAATGCAAATATTTCCAAGGAGATACGTTATTTTCTAGATAAGTTCATCTCACATCCAACTAGCCTATCATCTCTTTCATTCCACATTACCGTGCTCGTTAATCTATTATAGCACGAACTTTGATGGAATAGTATGCATTTTCATGTTAGATGTTACTAAGCTAATATAAAGTGTACAGAGGATTATTCACTGTACAATAATTATTTAATTTTTTTTTGCTTCCCACAACATTTATTACTGACAGACAAAAATAAAAAAATTGAACAGACAAAAACATAAAGCATCCACAACAAGAATGCACTAAAATTGTGTTGAAATTACTGACATCAAGCATATGATCGAGGAAGGGAATTCCACTACTACTATCAGCAACCCCGGAACCATCCAAGTTTATTTTGACTGATACATTGGTCTCCTTAATCTCTGATTCTAGCACCTGAAAAAGTTCGAAAAAAAGCGCTGAAACACATTGAAAATCCAAAAATCTCGGAAAGTGGAGATTAGAAACAGAGGTTTTGTGTTGACCAGAGTGAATAGGCAAATTCGTCGTAGCGGAAGCATTGTCCCACCACAGCGGCAGAAGAGACGTTTCTAGGAAGATCAATGGGAGTGAGATTGCGTGGATTGAGTGAAAAGATTGAAGCTTGCAGCTTGGAGTGGACGTTTCTGTCAAATTTGATTGGTGGTTTTGAAGCATACATAACATTATTTAGCTGCTGTTCAGATTTCAGATTCAAGAAAATGGCCATTTTTCTTGATAAGTTCAGATCACGGTGTTATCAATTTGTTGAGCTTAGAAAGTATGAAATTGCAAGTCCAGCATAGAAGCAACTTAGTATGGCAAATTTATGCTTTCAGTACTAGTAAACCGCTGGTTAGATTGTAGCCTACACACCAAATTTAACCGTTTCATCTACCAGTAATCCTGACAAGAGCAAGAACCATCCTTGAAATGATGAAATCGTGTTACATCTCTTACAATAATTTCTCTCTTCACAAGCTTAGAGATATATTTTATGGCAGAATGACAGTCATTACAAACTCTAAGGTTCTTCATGATTCTCAGTGTAGAATGCTCTGGAGTATTTATTAACGCAAATGCAATGGCAAGTTTTTCACTATGATGTCTAAGGATCTGTTCTTTCACTTCTTGCTCGAGGTCATGTAATACAGAATTGGTGTCAGGAATAAAGCCCATTTTCTTTATCTCCTTCCATATTTTTGAAATCATACGGTAGATTGCATCTCTTTGTGGATGAAGTGCATCTTCAACCCCAAAAGTGTGGACATTGTTCTGGATATGAACCCAGCTGAATCCTTGTTCTTTCTTTACTGCTCTATCCTTCATTGACTTCCTAACCTTAGCAGCATCCTCCCATTTACCACAGGCTGAAAGTGTATTAGCAAGTGCTGAGTAAGCCCCACTATTATTGGGATCAATAAGAAGAAAATTTTCAGCCGCCACTTTAGCCAAATCAACATTTTTATGAACCCTACAAGAAGACAAAAGTGAACCCCAAGCTACAATATCTGGTTCAATAGGCATATGTCTAATAAAGTCATATGCTTCTTCAAGCAATCCTGCACGCCCAAGAAGGTCAATCATGCATGCGTAATGGCTAGAGGTTGGTTCAATGTTATGAACATTTTTCATCAAATTAAAGAAACTTTTACCCTGTTCTACCAATCCCACATGTGTGCAAGCAGACAAAACACTAACATAAGTAATGTGATCAGGCTTTAGGTTAATTTTCAGCATCTTTTCAAACAGTTCTATGGCCTCATTTCCAAGTCCATGTTGAGCTAGGGCCAAAATCATGGAAGTCCAAGTCAATGTATCCCTGTACGAGCATATCTGATTGAATATTTTCCTAGCATCTTTGATGCTACCTGATCTTGAGTACATGGTAATTAAAGCATTACCCACAGAAATTGATGATACTTCTTCCAATCTTATAGCAACTGCATGAAGTTGCTTACCATGATCCAGAGAAGCCAAGCTTGAGAAGACACTTAATACCGCTGCCAGGGTATAATTGTTTGGCTTTGGACCTTCTCTAATCATCGACCTAAAGAGTGTCAAAGCATCACTAATGAAGCCATTCTGTGAATAACCAACAATCATGGCAGTCCATGCAACTACATCACGACAGTTCAATGAATCAAATATCTCTCTTGCAGGGTTTATATCCCCAATTTTGATATAGCCATCCAACAGTGACGTGAATGCTATAACATTAAGACTCGAAATTCCAGTTAGTTGTACAATCCTTCGAGCAAATTCAACAGCACCCGATTTTGCATACATTGAAATCAGAGCATTTCCCACTGCCCCAGCAATGTCAATATCGACTCTTATAATATGTGCATGGATTTGTTTCCCAAGTTTCAAGCTTTCGAGATTTGCACAAGCTGACAGAGCACTTCCCAAAGTGAACTTATCCGGATTCAGATATGAACTCTTAAGCATAAAAGAAAACGTTTCCAAGGCTTTGATGTCATATCCCTGATGACAGTACCCTGTGATGATGGAATTCCAAGAGACAATATCCGGATCACTCATTTGATCAAAGAGTGAAAGTGCAAGGTCAACTCGACCAAACTGCATGTGCATTGAAATCATAGTATTCCAAGTTGGTTTGTCCTTCAGCCTCATCCGGTCAAAAACAACATTTGCCATCACAGAATCACCACACTTTGCATACATGTTAAGCAGTGAATTTGCCACAGGAACAACCCCAGATAGCCCTAGTTTAACAACAAAAGAATGAACCTTCTTTCCAACACTCAGGGCCTTACATGCAGCACACGAGGTAAGAACATTGGTAAATGTGAATTGGGTGGGCGAAATTCCACAGGAAACCATTCGGAGAAAGGTGTGAACAGCACTATTGAAAAGACCCAAGTGATTATACCCCACTATCATGGTGGTCCAAGACACAGAATCTGGCTGGGGAATTTCGTCAAACACTCGGCGTGCAGAGTCCAAGTGCCCACCCTTCGCGTGCGCGGAGAGAATGGTGTTCCATGAGAAAGTGGTCTTAATGGGTATTTCATCGAACAGGCGGTGGGCGTCGGAGAATGACCCTATCTTGGCGTAGAAATTGAGGAGGTTGTTCATCAAGAAGACGCCGAAGCAAAGGCCATGTTTGATGATTGGAGCGTGAATGCATCTTCCAAGGAATGGGTTTCGGGATTTGATTGCAGATTGGAGAAGGAAGACACATTTATCAGAATGGGAGGGAGGGTTTGGGGTTTGCATCAACAGAAGCAGAGTGTGTCGAAGTGGTGGCAGTGTTTCCCTCCAAAAGTTGCACCAGTATCAAAGCTTCCTTTCCTAATCTGGCCGATGTTTTTGGGAACTTCTTATCCGAAAGTTTTGTAAGTCAAATTTAATTATAATTTTGTTTAATCAAACAAATATTTAATATATTTATTTATATATTTATAATTTTATTCTTTTATTTTCTTCTTAATTTTATAACTCTTATATAATTTATAAATTTTTTTTCTCAAATTTAACAATCATTTAATATATTTAAGTATATATCTATAATTTATCTTTTCATCTTCTTTCTTCATTCTGTATTTATTTAACATCCGTCACTTTTCTTAACAATTTCACAAACTCTACTTCCCTTTCTCGCCTTCAAAACACTGCTCTGCTGGGTGGAATTGTTTTATTGTAGAATTTCTTCTCTCCCTGCAATCATAGGGCCAGAAATGAAGGAATTGGGAGGAGAAAAATCAAAGACAAAGAAGAATGGAGAGTGAAGTTTGTTGCTTGTTGAAAACACATGGAAGAATCTACAGCATAAAATAGAATATTAACACATAATTAAAAAACAAATAAAGAAACTGTAATAATATTTAAGGGGAAAATTAAAATTAGTCATGACACAATCAAATATATTAACATATAAACATACAACTAAACATATATTCAAATATATTAATATAACTAAACATATATGTGTACTAATATAATGCGCAACGAAATGAATTTTATTTAAAACCTACGACAACAAAATCAGCAAGATGGCATGAAACAACAAACCAATAGAAAATACGAGAAAAGAATAAATGGTGAATAAAATGATAAAAAATGAGAAGAACATAGTAAGCAAACTGTAAATAATCATTATATAATATATGGCATATAAAGAGAGAGAATAAAAACAAAGCTTGCACCACTGTTACATGTAACAAATATTAAAAAAAAAAAAAAAGAGATAGTGTAAAAAAAATAAAAAATAAACAGTAAATTTTTTATTTTATCTTTTTCTACCATTTGACCATGAACGGGGATAAAAATAAAGAAAATGGGGAAAATTCTTCAAAGATATAAATTATTTTATCCCTTACGTGGAGAAGAGTCATCCAACGACTTTTTTTTCATAAATAATATTATTTTTTTAAAAATATTTTTTAAAATAGTACATCCTGGATCATTATTTACACCACTAGCACTTTTTACTGTTCCCGTATTAAAATAATCGATTATTTTATATTATGATCGATTATTTCGCGCAAGATCAACTCTCGCTCAAGTGAAGAAACCCTTCACTTGAGCGAGGAGATCTGTAACAAAAGGGTAATCTCGGGTCAATTCTCAGTCAAGCGACAGGTATTTTTGCTTGAGCAAGAAGTGATTAAAATATATGGTGACCCAAGTTGCGTTATGTGGCTAACTGCATTGGACGTTTAGTCTGTGGTCAATTCTCGCTCAAACGATGGGTTACTTTGCTTGAGCGATAATTGATTGGGTAACTGCGTTGGACCGTGGTCAATTCTCGCTCAAGCGAGACATCCATCGCTTTAGCGAAGAAATTTATAATCGATTATAATTTGAACTAATCGATCATAATTTTAAAATAATCGAATATACAAAATTATGATTGATTATTTCTCTCTCGCTCAAGCGAAGAAACCCTTCACTTGAGCGAGGAGAACTGTAACAAATGGGTAATCTCGGGTCAATTCTCGCTCAAGCGACGGGTACTTTCGCTTGAGCGAGAAGTGATTGAAATATGTGGTGACCCAAGTTGCATTATGTGGCTAACTGCGTTGGACGTTTAGCCTGTGGTCAATTCTCGCTCAAGCTTTCAGATACCCATAATACAGTAAAGAAACAAAAAAAAGAAACTAGAACAATCAAATCCGGATTATGCAGCTCCTGTAGAATGAGTTTCTTCAAAACTTTTCACAAAACTTTCTAAGTTATTTTAACTGATAACAACAAGTTTTAATCGATTAAAACAGTTAGCAAAAAGTTCCTTAAATAACCTTTGACTTCATCAGATTAACCTTTGACTTCATCAAATCCAAAAGATCTTCGTTTTATCAAATAATTCAATAAGATCTTCATCACTTTCAATTAATTGAAAGACTCCTAAGTTTCATACATTGAGACATTTCTTAACTAACACAATCTAATGATGCGAAATAGATGCACGTGCAACATTGAGACGTGTTCTTCTGCTATGACCAGGGGTATGACAATATGAACATTTTTTAATCCTACTTTGATTTTCTGTAATGTCCATCTCAGTTCTTATACGACTTGATTTTGGTCGGCCCTTTGAAGTTCTTTTCATTTCTGGATTTGCACACAAAGTAGGTCCTGTGTATGTTGGTCAATATTCTTCATTTCGTAATAACCCAAATTGTGTTCTGTATACCTTTGAAACTTGTGGTAAGGTATACACTGAATGAATATAGTTGTTGAAGTCATGGTGTGCATGCTTGC